GGCCGCTGCCGGGGCGTGTGGCTGCTGCACAGAGCTTCGGCCTGGCCTGATCTGGCCGTTTTATGTCACTTTTTCCCAGGCGGTTATCATACCGTGCAGTTTTAAGATGCGTAAAAAGGTGCCTGTTAATCAAACCCGGAAGGTTCGGTTGGTAACCGCCAGGCGTTCCCCTTTTCTGCGAGTGGCTCCGTGCCAGGGAGACTCGGTCTCTCCGGTTGTATCCGAGCTGATCCTTGGGGTTACTTGTAACGGCTGTGCTTAGTTATTGCTGAGTTGTGGTGTTGGTCGACAAAATCGTTAGACGCCACTTACGTTGCTCTTCATTAATTGGCGAAAAGTTGCATCCAGGAGATATTTTACTAGCCAAACGCCTCGAGAGTCTCAAGGTGTTCTTGGAGCTTGGGGTTGTGATTTCAGGTAGCTCGTCACCTTGGAAAGAGGGTTCGGTTGTACCAGTAGAATTTTTTTTATATGTGTATGAAAAATATGACTTACTAATTTGTTCGCTTTTTTCTTTAACAGCTGAAAGCTGACGTGGTTCCAAAGACAGCCGGTAAGGCAGCATCTCCAGAATTTCGTACCAGAATATTTAAGGTTTAGATTGTAATTTTCAGGAACTGGAATATTCTGTTACCTTATGGAAGCTATTTCCACATCCCATCCCTGTCTGTTAAACAGAGAAATACGATACAAACTTTGTCAGAACAGTACTAGTCAGCAGTTAGAATTTGTTGTTGTTCCAAATAGATTAATAATTTTTAATAGATTTTGTAATTTGTGCCAGGAGAGTAAACTCCCTACGTTTGGTTATCAGTGGTGAATAAATATGTGTAAAAGCACGTTAGTTTGCATTAAAATCAAATCCTAGAACAAATGGGAAAGGGTAAGCCAAAGGGGTGGTGTCTCTTTAAGAGTTTCCAAAGAGCATATAGGGTTTTTTGTTCCTTGTTACTAGCTGATCAGTGCACTCCTGATAACAGTTTTTGTGTTTAATCATGTGCTTCCTTCCTCATCTGCTTATTTAGTGGTTCTGAAAATCTTGTATTTTTCTTTCGGTTCCCAGTAGATGAATGTCCTTTTTTTAGAAAAAGAAAAGAATATCATCATCACAATTACTATAGAAAGGAAATGAAATCTTTGCTGGGTTTGAGGAGGCGAGGGGCTTGGAGTTAAGATATAACAGCAAAATAAAAAGGAGATGAGCTGGAAAGGGATTGTGTCCGTACCCTGTTCTGAGGCTAAGCAGGATTTGATTTTGCTTCCTTAGCTTTCTGACAGGATTTTTAAAGTATGGAAGCAACCAATAACTCAATAATTGATTATATTCTGTATCATGTATGGCAACATAATGCTTTACATTTTGTTTTCACAGAAAACTTTAGAGCTCTTTGTACTGGTGAAAAAGGATTTGGGTACAAAGGATCCACTTTTCACAGAGTGATTCCTTCATTTATGTGCCAGGTAATGTTTTGAGTTTTTTCTCTTTTGCTGTTGAATTTATTGTATGTTATTTATTTCTAGAACAAGTTAGACCAGTAGCAACATTTTAAGTAGCTCTGCTCCAACCTTTGCTAACCACAGAATACAGAAGTGACAGCGTGACTTTCATTTCTGATCTTTTTGCTCTGGCTGTTGCTTGGCACATCGTTTTTACAAATAAATGTAAACTATGTGTAGATCTCTTTAAAAAAACCCTGACTTAATGCTTTCTGGTTTTAGATAGCAGTGTACTTTAGTGTGGGGTGTGTTTGGCAAAATGGCACTTGTTTGGGAAAAGCATTTGTGGGTGGAATGACAATCAACCTTGTGTTCTGAGAAAGCTAGGAGAACAATGTGTCCATTCTCTATTCCTAGTAGAATAATCTGCTCACAATAGAGAATGTGTTTACTTTTTTTAATAAAAAAAGCTTTATTTTTTTTCTGAACATCTCCCTAATGTGGAGGGGAGGCAGGAACCAAAGGGGTTGGTTGGGGTAGATTTTTGGACAGATACAACTGAAATGAATTTTCTTTTGATTTAAAGGGTCTTTCAGAATTCTGAGTTAAAGTCCATGCATATTAGCATATTTTTCTTAAACAGCAGCAGCAACAACAACAAACAAATAGAAGAGGCTTTTTTTCTACTGGGCTTGGCAGATGAGCAGGATTTCAGCTGCTGTAGTGCACTGGATTTATATGAGCCCTGGTGGTCCTCTCTTCCCTTAAAAAAGGCTACTCTGTAAGAAAAACTAAGATGAAGGTTATAGTAAGCATGCTTTATTTATCAGCTGATGACTGTGATGGTCCTCCCTCCTCACTTTTTTTTTAAAGCTAAAAATTCAGCTGTCAGACCAAGAGGCCCTAATTTTAGGACCTAGTTCTCCAAAGAGAAGGGGGACAACTGTGCTATAAAGGACCCATTTTCTTGCTTTTGAAGTGCAAACTAAGGTTTTGTGATATTGACAAAGGGGTGGAGTTTGGAAGTTTTGCTGAGGTCAGAAATACATAAACAGAAGGAAAACAGAAATCCTACTTTCAGTTCTACGGCTGATTTGTGAAGTTCTGCCTAAGTCTCTTCTCCGTGCCTCCCTGTTTTGTCCTCACGAAGGGCCCTGGAATGACACCACTGGGTGGTACGGTGAGACAATCATGTGAGACGGTGACCTGACATTTAGGAATTACTCATTAGTCATTACCGACCTGGAAGTACTGTCATAGATTTCGAATATTTTAAGGTGAGAGGAACTATTGAGGCCTTCCCACGTGTTGCGATGGGGTGTTCAGGTGATTCAGGCCGTAGGCACAGACTAATTGGGGGTCATCACACCCGGCATTTCACATGCCTCCAGCAGCCACTGGTGCTGCGTAGGAGTAGCTCCAAACACCTCCTGCAGCAGATTGCTCAAGATGAGGATGAGAAGACAGAACATCACTTGAAATAGTCGTTCGGTACGAGTTCCTCGCTTCTGGGAGAGGAGCTGGCAGGTTGCTGGGAGCAGGGTTTAGCAGCCACCTTTGGGAGTTGCTGTGGCTGCGTGTTTTGTTTGGTTGTTGGGTTTTGAGTGTTGTAACCAAAGAGAGGTGGTCACATCTATCCCAGCAAGCAGCGTGGAGCTGAAGGGAGTTTAAAATAGCTCAATACTTAAACAACAAAACCTAGAAATAGCAGACAGTAATAATAGAGATCCTGACCGGTGTTTATGTCTATTGGGACAAAGAGAAGGGAGAAAAGAAAGAGAGGGAGGAAAGAAAAGAGAGGGAAAAAAAAGAAAAGGAGGGAAAAAAGAGTTCTGAGATCTTGCCTATGGTAATGAATTTTGGTGATTTTGTATGGAGGCCTTTGAGGTGTTTCTTAAAATTGCTGCTCTTTTTTGCATCACATTTGGGAGCAAGGCTGGAAGCATGGAAAGGTGGTTGTTGGGATTACAGGTGTCAGTTGGAGAGTATCAGCAATATCTGGAGCAGAAATTTGGTTTTAGCTTGATTGTATCTTCATCTAGTTACATGGTTTTAAATCCTTGTGACCATATTTATTCTTAACCTGAAGAAAATCTGCTGGTTTTATTACTTTTAAATAGAGCAAGTGAGTGTATTTTCAGTAGCATCACTTCTGATGTAAAGTAGTGCTTATGTGCTAGTAAAGTTAATGACCGTTTTTGTTTCAGGGTGGTGACTTTACAAATCACAATGGAACTGGTGGAAAATCCATTTATGGCAGTAGATTTCCAGATGAAAATTTCATACTGAAGCATATAGGACCTGGTAAATAACCACATTCTTCCTACCTTCTGATGACTATAACTTATGATGAAGCATTATTTGTAAAGATGTTATTTTTAAAAAACCAAGGTTTTTTTAGATAAAGGGTGCACTTGGTAGTTACAGAAATACCAAGGAGTTTTGACAGTGCTTTGTCCCTGACATGTGCTTGTTTGTGTAAGACTGCTGTACAAATTGCAAGTCATCTCTAACAGGTGACGCTGCCACTCTTGCTCTTACTATGAAAGGGACAGTGCAAAATAAGGTATGGGTGTTTTGTATTATAATTGCAAATTCTGCAAAGGTAAAATTACTGCCTTTATTTTGCTCTTTCATAAGCCACAGAGTTCAGTTTTTACATAGATGATTACTGCAGAAGTGAAGCAAAGTGACCTGGGATTTCTTATTTACTAGGTAACACAGGCACATCCTTTTAAGCTCAAACTAAATCTGTAAAAGGTAAAGAAAGAGCCCTACATTGAGAACATCCAATTGAGTTCTAGAGTCTCTGGTTTTTGGATTGTTACTTCCTCATCGCAGGAAACTACT